GGGTTCCTGAGATCTAAAATCAGTACTTTGTGAAGTTGTCTGTCTTGGATTATTTGTATTGTCTTTTTTTCCCCCTTAGGTGTCTTTTGGGGGCAAGTAGGGGCGGTGAGAAGTAGTTGCTTTTTATTTTGTTTTTCTTGCTCTGTCATCTAGGTAAAGCTCCTTTTGAAAATGTTAGCCTGTGTGAGCACTGCAAAAAAGGGAAGGGGAAAGTCTCTATAGTTGATCCGTGTACTCTGTTTCCAAGTATGGCTGAAGCCGTGAGAATAAAGGGACAAAAATATCAAGAAGATGAACATATAGCAGTTAAGGGCTGCTTGAGCAGCTGTTCTCTCCTGCCATGACTGTCTGATTCAACTCTTCTTCTCCTGTCTCAGGCTGTTTGTGGACCATGGTTTGGGATTTTTCCCCTTTTGGGGGCTGATGGGAGTGGGGCTGATGAGAGCAGAACTAGGGAGCTGGGGGAGTTGGACTGGAGATGTGACAACAGCCTGGGATTGGCTTTTGTCAGTTTGTTCATTTCCTTCTTAACAGGACAAACAGGCTATATTACCTTTCCATGCGGGTATGAAAGCTTATGAATTCTTTCACTGCATTTGCTTACAATCACAACCCCAAAGTTCTTTAACTATAGTTGCCTGCTGTCAGTGTTCCAGGTATGATGACTTGGCCTCTGCACTTTGAAGACATCACCTTCACTGCCCAGTCACTTCCATGTGGTTTACCACCTCCATGGTTCCAGAAAACAATGATGGTGAGCCATCTGGGTGAAAATGTGGTGAGAGAGTGGAGCTGGAGAGGTTGGAGGACAATGATTTCCTTCACTCTGATCCCTTATCTTCCTCTGGGACCCAAATATTCTCCCCTCCTTTATAAAAGAGAAAGAGGAAGAGAGAGAAAAAGAAAGCCAGTCAGCCTGGCATTGCCAAGGAATTTTTTTATTCCCCAACAACCTCATTGCTGCCTCCTAGTGAAAATTTTAGAATTGAAAAAAGACCATTTACTGGGGAGGATTTAAGGGGGAAAAGAAGAAACTGAATTTGCACAGACGCACAAGCGTTTTCTGAAAATGTCCGTCAGTTTCTGTTTATATTTGTGAACACAGGTGTACTACTGTGGTCACGAGGAAAATGCAGAGCCCACGCAGACTCTACTAATCAAGGTTCACTTTTCTGTGGATGCTCGCAATCAAGACTCGACAATAAAAAGTCCAACAAACTTACAATTCTCTTTGAATTTACTTTTTCTTTACTATTCGTTCAGACGTATCTTGGTATTTTTCACCTTTAGGTAAAAAATGCACAAGAACAAAAATAAAATATTCTATCTAGTCAAACATAAAATCTGTGAAATACATTTTGGTATAAAAGAAAGAGAAGATATGGAAACTTACTTTGTGGAAAGCTCCATCAGACTCAAGCAAGAGGTGTGAGGTTGGTTAATAATAGCAGTGCCCGCTGCCTTCCTTTCATGGATAGCTTATTGGGAGGGTCTTGCCTTGGTTGGCAAGGGTTTAGGCCAAGAATATTGATCCCCTAAAAACTGAAATAGAAAACCAAATCTCTGCTATTTCTAAATGTGTGCAATTTTATTTGGTGAATAGACAAACAAGCACACCAACAGCCATTTTCTTTTTAGGTATGAAAAGCACCTTTGTTTTGCACAGGTTAACATTATTGGACTTAAGAACTTTCACATTTCATTTACTTAATATCATTAAACAGGCGATATTGCACAATTTATAAAACCATCAAGGAAGCATATGCATTTTATTTTTATACAATATTGCACAGATAAGCATACATTTCAATCACATATACAAATATTTCTTTCCATGGTAATAATTGACTGCAAAAGAGTTTTAAACTTACATTTGAAAAGAGTATATTATAATTTAACTAACCAATATAAAATATATTTTCTCAATCCTTATACTTTTGTATATGTCAAGATAATTTTTACTATTAGACTCAACTATATTCACAATGTTTAGTAAATAATAGTGTTTCATATCTTGTATCCCCATGCATATGTTCTTTGTATGACAGTATTATATTTTTGTTTCAAAACTATTACACAAGTTAGTAGGTTCAAAGCTCAGATAAATTTGTAGTTTATCATCCCAAAACAGTGTATTTAATATTCTAGTCCATATAATTACACCTGCTAGTGTTTTAATGTTGCTCCACACAGAGTTTGTGAATGACAGTGTCTTTATAGAGCCTGTCAGGGAATATGGTTCTAGAAAAATCTGTCCAATTATTGTAGCAATACAAGGGCAAAACTGATAGAAAGTAAACATTTATAAATGTGATAGCTTAAGAAAATACAGATTCCTACACATTTCACATTTCTATGTCATCACAACTAAAATTAAAGCAACAATCAACATTCTATTTATTAAAAGGAGCAATAAAACAAGTCTACCTCTTAAACAGTTTTTACTTAAGTCCATAATTTCAATCAATGCTTTGGGTCTGTGTGTGTCTGTGCATGATTTAAACATATATTGCAGGGAAGACTTAAAGAGTTAAACACTTCTAGAACCTCCTACTTGCACACACCATATGGCTAGGTCAAATCCAAATTGCCAAAGAAAGAAGGCAAGCAAGTTCTCCCTGAAGGGCAGGACAACTTGTAAATGAAACTCCCAAACTGATCATGTTATATGTATGCTGCAGTATACCAAAAAGTGAGAAAAATATGCAAACAAAATCATGCTGTTTGATTTTTGCGTGTCGATTATAAAGATAGAACTGCTCTTACTAAAGAAAATTGTGTTTAATAACACAGAAATATTCCAGTATGTTGTGATTGGTATGTTTAACTTTTTTCTTCCAGAGAAATAATTTTATACTTCTTTTTTATTTTGAACACCATCACCATCTCTCTGCATTTAAGTGAGATGCTGTAAGTTAACTGTACCTTAAAGGGGTCAGTATAGATGGCTTTGACGAAGAGAATAGAAACAAAACCAAACACCCAGAATCTTTAAAGAGCTTACAAGTCAGCCAAAGATGCCTACTCTCAGCCTGGGCTCGTTCCTTTTCGAAAGAGTTCCCAAGAGCATGCTCAGTCCCTCCTCGGTTACTTTTCACATCACTACCTCTGACTGTGTGCATCACCAGTGCAAGAAAATTCGGGAAGCATCTGTTCCAAGTAACATCTGAATATCCAAGGAAAATGGGCACTTTCTTGCTAGGAAAAGTCTCCATCATTTTCTAGGGTGCGTCCACGAGGCTCTTCCTGGTGCGCTCCCCTTCCTCTGGGCAGAGGATCCCCGAGCCGCGACCAGTGCTGCTCCAGCCGGCCAGGGTAGCTGGGATGACTCCGGGGTTGCCAACGCCAAACAGTACGCAGACTCCGCGGCGCGATCCGGGCTCTCCACTCGCCTAAACCTGCTCCAAAGTGAAAAAGGGTGGGAGGAGGAGTATGGAGGGGGAGGAGAAGGAGGAGGTGAAGGGGATCCTGTTTAATTCGAGGTCCTGGAGGTGTGGGAGCGGGAGGAGGCTCCTCTGGTCCCTCCTCCCTCCTGGAGTCCTGGGCTCCACCTCCTCCGCATGGCCCCAGATATACACACACTCGGCCGCAGCTGGACATGCACACCCAGCGCCGGCTTCGGGCGCGTGCACACGCAGGTAGCGACACTCACCTGAGCCCGTGCAGAAGGCTCCTGCCGCTTCGGGAGCGGCGGCGGAGTGGCGGCCAGGGCCGGGAAGGGGTCCACTGTGCTGCGGTAGTCGGTGAAGCGGGAACAGCCCCAGCGCGGACCTGTGAACTGAGGTGACGGCGCAGGTTCCTTAAATCCCCTCCTCCAGCACCTCCGCCTCCGCGCCTGCTCGGTTCTGGCCGCAGAACCCAGGAGAGTGGGGCCCCTGGCTCGGCGCACTCTCGGGCGCACGCTGCGAGGCCAGCGCGCCGGCGCAGGAAACTTGGGCGAAGTTAGTTGCAAGTGCCGGGCGGCGGCCGACAGGAGCGAGGTGGGGACGCGGCCAGCGCCGGGCCAGCCGCGCCGAGGCAGCGCTGCCCCACACGCTTGGCGCGCTTCAGGATCCCGAGTCGACCGGAGCGCCCGGAGGGGCTCGGAGCAAGCGGAGCCGGCATGGCCCGAGGGACTTCAAGACGCGGTGCCTCGGCTAGTCGAGAGGATTTCTTCTGAGGCCCGGGGACTCCAACTTTGATCAAACCTCATCCTACCTCCTCCGACCTGCAGCCGGAGCGGAAGACTCGCGAGGCAGGTGCTGGGGGCGCCGACAGCTTCCCCCTTCCAAAAAACCCAGCCGATTCGGGGGGAGGGGTTCCCATCCGCGCGCCCTGCCCACAGTCTGGAAGACTGGCTGGTGCTGCTGTATTTGCTGCGCTCTGTTTTCTCGTGGTGCGCCCGGACCCTCCTCCGCCTCCCCCTTTTCTTCTTCCTCCCGGGCCACCTCCACTCCTCCCCCACCCCCATCTGCTACTGTCAAATGAGAAAGTCACCGAGGAGAACCCAAACACTTCAGCAACCGAGAGTCCCCTTTGGCACTTGGCAGCACGCGGCGGTTGGCCCCTCGACTCAACTTGGTGGAGCCTCCGCGACGCAACTTTCCCGGCTGCTGTGCATTTAAGAGAAAAAAGACTGACGAAGGGGAGAGCTCGGCCGGGCAGCGGCTACCTGCAGGGTGTTCGCGAGAAAACGCCACCAGAGAGGAAGGACAAAAAGAAAGCAAAGGGCAAACGGCCACGGTGGGGTAGGGACACTGCCTAAAAGTTATCGTGCTCCGGAGAGATTTTTCTCGAGCGTTCGGCCAGAGAGATCAGGGCAGCCTGAGACGCCGTGCGGCCCTGGGCTGGTCACCCGGCCCCCTCCTCCCGGGCGGGAGCGACGCCAGGGCGCGAAGTGGGGCGCGGCGAGCGCCGGCGGGCCGAACGTGTCCCCGCGCCCAGCCAACATTGATTTCCTCCGGGCCGAGGGCGACGGCCCGGGCGGCGGCGGCGGGCTGCAGCCGCGACACGGCGAGAGCATGTCCAAACCTGTGGACCACGTCAAGCGGCCCATGAACGCTTTCATGGTGTGGTCGAGGGCTCAGCGGCGCAAGATGGCCCAGGAAAACCCCAAGATGCACAACTCGGAGATTAGCAAGCGCCTGGGAGCCGAGTGGAAGCTGCTCACGGAGTCGGAGAAGAGGCCGTTCATCGACGAGGCGAAGCGGCTGCGCGCCATGCACATGAAGGAGCACCCCGACTACAAGTACCGGCCGCGGCGCAAGCCTAAGACACTGCTCAAAAAGGACAAGTTCGCCTTTCCTGTGCCGTACGGTCTGGGCGGCGTGGCCGACGCTGAGCACCCGGCACTCAAGGCGGGCGCGGGACTGCACGCGGGCGCCGGCGGCGGCCTGGTGCCGGAGTCGCTGCTCGCCAACCCCGAGAAGGCGGCCGCCGCCGCCGCCGCCGCCGCCGCGCGCGTCTTCTTCCCGCAGTCGGCCGCCGCCGCCGCAGCAGCAGCCGCCGCCGCCGCCGCGGGCAGCCCCTACTCCCTGCTCGACCTGGGCTCCAAGATGGCAGAGATCTCCTCGTCGTCGTCTGGCCTCCCGTACGCGTCGTCGCTGGGCTACCCGACCACCGGCGCGGGCGCCTTCCACGGCGCGGCCGCAGCGGCTGCAGCGGCCGCCGCGGCCGCCGGGGGGCACACGCACTCGCACCCCAGCCCGGGCAACCCGGGCTACATGATCCCGTGCAACTGCAGCGCCTGGCCTAGCCCGGGGCTGCAGCCGCCGCTAGCCTACATCCTGCTGCCGGGCATGGGCAAGCCTCAGCTGGACCCCTACCCCGCGGCCTACGCCGCCGCGCTATGACCCCGCGGGGCCACCTTGGGAGGACCGGTGTGCACACGTGTACATATGTATAGGTACGAGCTCTGCGGCCACCCCGTGCGCCCTCCCGCGACGGAGGCCCCGGTGTGTTTGTACATGAGATGTATAGGTGCCAGGCAGAGATGCCAGTCGGGGCGCGAATGACCAAGCGCGCGAGCGCGCGGACGAGTGTGCGTGTGAATTCACAGGATCATTTCAGACCCGCACTTCGGCAGCCAGCTTTAAAGAGGGCAGTTGTATTCCCGCAGCAGTTGGCGTTTGTTTTGCACTTCGGAACCTGTTGCGTGTTGGCCCATAGAGGTGGAGGAGTAACTTTTTGACGTGTTGGGCTCTCCAGTTTTGTTTGTTGAAGTTTATTGTCGGTTTTATTTTTGTTTCTCATTATCTGTCCCTCGGTTTTTTGTTTGTTTGTTTGTTTTTGTTTTCTCCTGGTCTGTGTTGCATGCACTCTGTCAAATGTTAGGTCTGAAATGGCTGACACAAGGGAAAACCAGATCTGTGTCATTAGTTTCTCGGAGCGGGAAGGCTCTGAGCAACCTTGCTCCCTATTTGTACTATTTGAACTTTGCAAATCTCTGTTCTCTCAAGCAGAACCCCAGACCGGATCCATTCTTGACCAGTGACCGGCTCGAATCTGGCCTTTTGTATGTGAGATGATCGCGGTTTCTTTTGTTTATCACGCCATATGCAAATCAGAGCAAGAGCTCTTTCTCAAGAGCAAGGAAAGCAAACAAGAAATATGTGTAAGATGAAAAGTTGTCAATTAGATTTTCTCCCTTCAATAAAAACAAAACATAGAAATCACCCTGAGACCACGCACATGGATTTCTGACACAGTCTACAGACAATGTAAAGGCCCTGTTTCTATTTTCCCCTATGGCTGCGTTCACCTTAAGGTTGTAAATGTGTACATGTTCGTGAAAACATTAAGTCTGAGAATGTGTTATTTGCGTTGCCCTAAATGTGAGTCGATTTTTGACTCTAAAGCATTTTGAGCAAATGTCAAAGTTAGCTTTTAAAAATTGCGGGACTATTTTAGAATCGCAATTTTATCTAAGATTAAATCAGACTTTTTTGTCTGAGTGGTAATTATATATTTATTATTTAGCAAAACTGAAAAAAAAAACAAAACCCATGGAATTGTTTTGACAGATGTCTCTCGTTGTCAGCTAGCATTTCTCCACCAACTTGAACCATTTAAATGTGTTTTGGAGTTCCCTCCCTAATTAGCTTATTTTTTAGATCATCTGCAATTCATTTGCAATTTATGATAAAACACATTTTAGAGTAAAGAACCTTCCTCAATTATAGCTTTTGTGTTTCTTTTTAAATGTATATATTTTGACTAATGTTTGTGAATGAAGTTGGCTAACATGTATTTAGTTTCATTTTGGCTTTATGTAATATAAAGTTTTTAAAAGTTAAGTATTGGTTTTAACCTTTATGTGTAAATGGTTTTCTTGTGTGATCTTCTAATTTAATATTAGATGCCTAAACTATATCTGTAAATTAGAATCCAACTATCACTCTGTTCATTTTTTTTGAACAAAGAGTTTAAATAAAGCCTGAACCAGGGAAAAGAGAAAATCCTCTATTTCTTGTTGAGTTCCTAACAAGATTTTTATCTGAATTGCCCTTACGTGCCTGGTCCAGGTGAAGTGTAAGGTATCCTCCAAAGGCAGCCTTTGTTTCACTTTTGAATAGATTTACTAGGAAATCTAAATCAAGCCATTGTTATTCAGAGCCAAAAACCTGATTTATCACATTTTTAATCGTGAATAGGAAAGAAGATTTAAAAAACCAAGTAGTTGCATTATCTTGGGGGGAAAAAAAAGGCATTCATGAACCAGAACAGAGCCCATTGAAAACATCCAGACCGTTCAAAGCATTTCACTAGTTTCCAGTAACATTTTAAGAGGGGAAAGTTGCCTGACCACTTTATCTTGTTAGTGGGAGAGCCCCACCACTTAAATCAGTGTAATTTGTTCACGTATCTTTGGCATATTCTTTATTTACACCTTAAGATTTTACTTGGAAGAATTATCACAGCTAACAACAATGTACCACTTTTGGCCTCTTTAGGGTTTTATTTTGTCATGCTAATGGTATTTAAATAAAAGTATAACACATTCTAATGAAAGGGTTGAATTTCAAGAGCTAGGCACATTTCCACTGAAAAAGGTTTGAAATCATAAAGGATTTTCATTTCAGAGAAGAGATTATAAGGTACCAGGAAGAATAGCAGAGAAAAAAGTTAAATAATTAAGGGAGATCTTTATTTTCTCCCCACCGAGATAGAAATTCTCAAGAAACAAGACTTAACTAGTTTTAAAGTCCTTCTCCATTGACGGAGACCATCTTTTGAGCTGCACATCTTTATAAGCATAAGCAACCCGACTCTTTAAAGTCATTGTTTTCCCCCAATGGAATAATATTTTAAAAACCATGAAAAGTTTTGGAAATGTGAGAAATAGGCTCTGATGGTTTGACCCTGATTCACTAATTAAAACGATCCCTCTCCTGTTATTCCCCGAGCTCTTTGCAATATTATAAGTTAATTCATATGGTTCTGAGCGATTATGCAAAACTAATTTGGACTGTCCAGGGGTAATTATCCCTGACACGGTTAATTAAATCCTTTCAAGCCTTCGTCTTTGCCTTTTGTAGCAGCCCATCACTTCTCAACACGGAACTTCCTGCGGCTCGCTGGAAATCACCCCAGCCCTAAATCTTAGTTACCTCCCTGAGCCTTCCAGCTCGGCCCCACTGGCCCTTAGATTCCCCACCTCCTACCGCCCCCTCCCCCTTTCCCAAAGATCTGGGTTTTCTGGGAGCAACGCTCTGGACTATTGATGAATGAGAAGAGGACTAGAGAGATAGGGAAGGGGAGGAGGGAAGATGCCTGGGGTAAGCACGCAGGGTCACATAGCCAACAGATTGTGCGGCAGTTTGAGTACATCCACAGGCCCACAGGGGGTGACTAGTTTGTCACCCCGCTGACTCCAGTGGGCTTGCTAACCGGCCGAGTCTGGAGAAAGCAAGACTGCGGAAGTTAGGGGAACGACCCTGGGACAAGGGGACCCGGAGGGGGTCAGGTGTGTGTTTAAGGGTCTGAAAGTGATCCACAGATACAGCACTGGGACTAAGCCAAGAGCTGCTGCGGGATCGAGCTCGATCTCCACCAATTATCTCTATACCTCTCTTTCTCCTCCTTTCCTTCCTTCCTCCTTTCTCCTCCTTTCCTTCCTTCCTCCTTTCCCTTGCTTCTTTTTGTTCTTCCATTGTCTTTTCTTTTTAAGGTTTAAGAAAGCCACGATATTTCTTGGGTAGTCACGGATGCCTAAGGGCTTTAAACAAGTCTCACAAGCTAGGGGCCAGGAGTGTTGCCTTCCAGTTTTGAGCAAACAGGTGGAATTGTTCTGCTCGAGCAGTAAGGACCAGAGCTGGAGGACGCGAGGGATGGCTTCGGGGAGCCGTGGAGTCACTTCATTTGACAATTTCCACCCATGCCCCCCTATCCGCCGCCAAAAAAAAAAAAAAAAAATTGGAACAAAACAGCGCGGATTCCCCCCCCCCCCCCCCCCCCCCCAGCTGGGGGCTGCCTCGGCGAGGGGCGCAGAAGATACAGAGAAGAATCGACCGTCTTCCCGGAGCAGGCCCGCGTGCCAGCCAATCAGAGCGCGGCTCCGGCAGGCGCTCCCCGCCGCCGCCGCCGCAGCCGCCGCCGCACCCTCGGGGCGAGTGAAGTTCCTTGCAACTCGCGGGGCCGAAGTGTCTGTGTCTTTCTTGCACCCACTGCCCGGCGGAGGCAGAGAAAGCGCCGCCGTCCAAACTTTATTAATCTCTCTCGCGTTCTTTCTCCCTCAGCCCAGTGCATCTCAAAGGTCAGCCCTCTTCTTTTAAAAGACTGATATTATTAATTCACTGACAACCCCCACCCATTTCTTTTTATTCTCTTGCGAGGGAAAAAAAGGAGGGGGGGGTAGTGAAAAGAGCTTTTTTTAATCTTTTTTTTTTTTTTTTTCTCCTTCAGTGGGAGCGTTTAGACAGTCGAGGAGGTTTTGTCCGGGAACAAAACGCAGGGTTGGGAGGTTTTGTGAGAGTGTTGTTTGTTGAAGTGGAGCTAAGAAAAAGCGGCGGCTTTCTCCTCATTGTGAAGAAACCAATCAGTGGTATTTGGAAAACTGTTAGCATTGTGCACTTCTTCTGTGTCCATTGTGAGGCGTTTCTTTTCACAAGGTTTTTTTTTCAGCCGATCCAGCTGGCCGGAATGAATAGCGGTGCAATGTGTACACGCTTTGTCCCTCCGGCCTTCAAGTAGCCCCCATTGAATAGACTAAGTTGACACTGCGTGACAGTGAAACAACATAATAAAAAATACATGAGCCCCTGAATAGGAGCAGGCGCATAAATAAATAAAATGGGTGACCAAAACTGGATAAACTGAATGACAAAACGGTGAAAGGGGAACAAAAAGATATTTAACACGCTAGATTAGCATTAGAATGCGATCTACAAGGCAGAACAATTGATGAATAGGTTTACCGGCCAAGAAAGAAATGGACTAAATGCCCTTTGAATAGATATGCTTTTTGCAAGGGCTTTGAATAGATATGCTTTTTGCAGGGGTTGAATGGGAAAAGGTAAAGATGAAGCTATGCAAATGAGCAGGGAACTTTTTATATGTATTCTTGAAACACACACTGCGGGAGAAGAGTGCTGCCTCGGGATGTTTATAGAAGCAATAATTGCCATTATTAGCATTGTCTGCAACAGATAGGAATTGAACAGGTTGGGATAATATAGGGTAGCAGTAATTCTTCCTCTAATTAATGGTCCTTTGCTACTTGAAAAAGAAAAAAGGAAAGGAGAAGTAAAAGTTATGCAGAAGTTATGTTTTCTTGGGTCCCTGCGCCCAGCGTTGGAATCTGTGGCGCAGCGAGGCTGACGGTTCCAAGAGGCATGCTGATCTTACAACAGTC